AACAGATGCTGGTGAAATAACAAGTTTATTTGATTCAATAACATATTCGAAAGGAGCAAGTATATTACGTATGTTAGAAAAAATTGTTGGTTCACAAACATTTCGAAATGGTTTACGTGAATATTTAAAAGTTAATGCATTTGATGTTGGAGATCCAAGTTTCTTTTATAATAAATTATTTAATGATACTAATGGAGAAGAATTTATGAAAAATTGGTTAGAAGAATTGAATTATCCATTAGTAAATGTAGTATTAAAAGTAGAAAATAATGAAACAATAGTAGATTTTACTCAATCACGTTTTATTATTTCGAACGCACTTGATTCATCACATCTTAATCAAACTTACCGATGGAAAATAAAACTTGAATGTTTATTAGGTAGAAACACAAAAAAAACATATTTTTTATTTGATTATATAATCGAATATTTTTTCTAGGTGGTCATCCTGATTCAGATATAATAGATGTAGATGCTAGTACAATTGCTTTTCTTTTTGACACAGAACATACAACTCGAATTTTTCCTGGAAAATCTTATTCATGGATTAAATGTAATCGTGATTTTACAGGTTATTATGTTACTGAATATTCATCATCATCATCATCAGATATTTGGCAACATTTATCGACAGCGTTAGAAGGACAACCAGTAGTAAGTTAAGTATTACAATATTTTAAAAATTTTCATTTTTTGTCTTTAGTTTTTTTCAAATGAAGATAGAGTTAATTTATTACAAGACACTTTCTTACTTAGTTATAATGGTTTAGTTGATTATAAGGAACCATTACGAATCGTACGTACATTAATAAAAATGAATATAGAAGAATATGTACATTGGAGAACATTTCAATGGCATTGGGATACATTAGCTAATTTAATCGATTATTTACCTAATATATTAGATAAATTTCAAGTATGTGCAAATCTTATTATGTTTTTTTTTTTGATAATTATTTCTTTTAGACGTTTGCCCATCAACAAATTCTTTCCGGTGGTGAAACTCTCGATACAATTTTAACATTAAATCCAACTGATAATGATAATACAAAGTATGACAAAAAACTAACAAGTTAATTTAATTTTAGATTTATTTTTAGATTAATCAAAGGCTTAAAATTTGAATTTCTTTGTCGAATGAATCATGCAGATTCTATCAGAAAAGCTAGTGAATTATTTAAAACAATTCCAATTCAATACTTCAATAATAGTGATATTGGTATTGGGTAAGTAAAACTATTAGCACTATTGCAAACATTTTAGGATTTAATCGTGAAAACTATTTTATTTAGTATTGGTGCAGATTTCTTAACAACCGTTTATACATATCATTTGAAACATGATGATAATGAAGCTGATTGGAATATGATGTTTAATTATTATAAAATAGCTGTATCACCACAAGAACAAACTCGTGCTTTAATGGCTATTTGTTCAACAAATAATGCAGATCGTTTGAATCGGTAGAAGAATTTGATAAGAATTTTTTGTTTTATTTTTTTTTTTTTGAGATTATTAAATGAAGGATTAGCAACTGGTGCAAATACAATTAGAAGACAAGATTATTTTGCTATGATGGGTTACATGAGTCGTCATGCAATTGGAAGAGAAACTGTTTGGAGTTTTTACCGAGATAATTATCAAAGATTAGTTGATACGTACGCATTTGCTTTAAAGAAAAGAAAATACATTTTATATCTTTATTTAGTTTTACACTTGAACATCGCGGATTTGGTAGAGTGATTCTTTCCATTACACATTCATTTCAAGAATCATCTTATCTTCAACAAGTAAATTTATTTTATATTCGATATTCAAAGTTAAATTTTTCGTTTAGATGAATGCATTATTTACACAATATCCAAATGCCGGCGCTGGAACATCAGCACGTAAACAAGCAGTAGATCAAGTGAATATGAATATTGAATGGATTAAATCTAGAGAGCAAAATCTACATGATGCACTTGATGCAACATTACGACAATAATATAAACGTTTTTATTCGTTTTTTTTAATGCTATACTATTTTTATTTAATTAATGTAATAAAAAAATGATGAAAGGATTTTGAACTTCTTTGTGATACGCCGGCTGATGTGTAAATTAACAGAAAAAATAATAAGAACGATCGTAATATTACTCTGTATATATATATATTTTATTACAAAATATTCCATGTCATGATAAATTGTAGCGATTAATATAAATCTGCTCATAATTAAAGTCATTTATTCAGTTTTATTTTTCGGAAAAAAAAGAATATTAATAAAAAGAAATATTTTTCATTTTGAATCTATTGGCGTTCCCATTTGTTGTTGTTCATCGGATCTGGAATTATTTTCTGCCGTGTATGGAACAACTTCTTCCGTTTCGAATGTTCCATCTTCTAATTGAAGAAGAAATTCTAATTGATATGGTGCTTGTGGACGAGCTTCTTTTGCTGTTATACCATATTCAAGTAAACGTTTTGTATCATTATCAAGTACTTGTCCTTTAGCTGTTAAACGTATCATTTCAGGATTTAATTTAAGAATATGTGCAATAATTCGTTTTAAATCACCTATGGTAAGTGTTTCAGCAACATCAGTAAATAACGTTTGTTTACCACGACGTATTTGTAAATAACAATCAGGATATGTATTACTAGTTGTAGATAATGGTTGCATCTAGAATTTATATAATAACAACTGATTTTAATCTTTATCTGAATGACTAGAAATAACAAAAAGGATATAGAAACATTTTATCTGATCTGGAGCAAAATAGGAAGAAAAAAAAATGTTTTTCTTTTTCATTGAAAATAATCAAATTTAACGTTGTTGACGTTTAAGTTCAGCAATTTCTTGATCAATTTTTCGTTTTTCAGCTTCAAGAGCAGCAAGACGTTGTTGAGGTGTACTTTGTGTGCTTGCTGAACGAGCAGATTGACCACCTGCAGGGTGTTCAGTTCGATATTTAGCGATTTGTTCAGCATCCTACAGACAAATATAATTTATTGGAGATCATACATGTAATATTTTATTTACATGACGACGAATCCAACGTGTTTCTTCAGCACGTTCTTTTTTACTGAAAGCATCATTACCTGAACTAGAAAATAAGAAGTCTATACAAAAATAAAAAATTTGTTTTTTTTCCGAAACATACGCAACAGAACCAGCTTCAGCATCGGTGCTTGATTCAGCACTGAAATAATTAAATGTAGAAATAAAAACAAATTTCAGTGTTTTTATTACCGAGCAACAGTCAATGTCGAACGAACGACA